ATAAAAGGATTGTTGCTCAAAAAGAAGCTAGCTCATGAATTTCATATTTCTGCAGAAAACATCAGTGCTTTTGTTTCCATAGCCAACTTTTAGCACCAGCTGGAAGACAGGTTAGAATAGATGGTACAGATGATCCTCTGTATCATCTATTTCCAATTTACAGGTTTCGCCCTAAGCAACAGCAAATGCAGGAGAGAAGGAAGAACCAGGTTGGGAATGTAATGGGCAACAGATTCAAGCTGTGCACTTTTTCACACCAGAGTCGTGATCTGGATGACCTCCAGCTATTTGTGAAAGACAAGTTCTGTGCCCAGGCACAGTACATGTATTTTGACCATTAAGAGATGAATTATTGTTCCCTTCAATTTTGCATCAACCGGCCTATATAAAATACATTAACCCTGCAGGCATTTTATAAATCCTTATGCACATGTTACAGCATTAAACCAGAATTAATCTACTCTAGTTTCTATTTAGTCATGGAATTTACTGGATATTTACACTACTTCCTATTCATTAATTTATATAGATAAAATGGTGGGGAGGGAAGAAGAATGCTTATGTTCCTTTGAATGAAGTCGGAGTACTTGTATATTATGTGTATTGTGGGTGAGGTGGCCTTTCAGACTTTGGATGGCATGAAATCCCTGATTTTTTTAATGAACCGATTTTACTGGTTTCTAAATATTTTTTTATATAATGCTATTTTTATTGCTGATATTTACTCTACTTTCAAGCATGTTACAGATTTTGTTAGAAAGAACAGCAATTTCAGACCGAGCTGAGAAGGATGCTTCCTTACAAGTAATAATAAAAGCTTTATCTTGAAATAGGAAAACAACAATAATAAAAAAGATAATGGTAACCAGATTATATAACCTTAGATAAATATTTTAAAAATCAATGTCTTAAGTTAAACTACATTCTTCAAAAAAAAATAAAAACAAAACCTCAATAAAATACTCCATAAAGGATTGGAAAACTAGAAGGTGACCACTTCAGATAAAAGAGTCTTACTTTAACCTTATATTCCATTTCCTTGTGTTCCTGAAGCAATGCTTCATTTTCCTTTAAAGATGACCCCAAGTTTTGCTTATTAATGTAATCTTTTATGTTCTTCTTGTACCAAGAGGTTATCTGAAATCAGAAACAATCTTTTAAATGAATAATATATGCAAATGAGCTTGATGGAAGCTGAGTCAGTAGGGATAGAATCTGCTTTGCTGATACAGGCTATTCTCTTGTGGACTGGCAGATTGAAGTTTATTTACTGTGTTAAGCAAAAGATCATTTCTTAGATTATGTTGTATTAAGGCAGACAACTGTGGTTTATTCCATAACCCATGGTTATATAAATCATCTCTACAGAATAAGAGCACAACAATGATAAAAACTGTCTTGAATGCATTTGGGTCAATATAAAAGGGGAAAAAATGACATTGCCATAGGTGTATACTACAGGCCACCCAATCAAACAGAGGAAATAGATGAACTTTTTGCTAGTCAGCTAACTAAAGTATGTAGGAAGCACATCACAATAGTAATGGGGGACTTTAACTACCCTGACATCAACTGGGAGACAAACTCTGCACCAAGTGGAAGATCAAACAGGTTCCTGGCAAACCTAGCAGACAACTTTGTCTCCCAAAAAGTAGAGAAAGGAACTAGGGGATTAGCCATTTTGGATCTAATTCTCACTAACAGAGATGAAATGATAGAAGGTGTTGAAGCCATAGGAACCCTGGGAGGAAGTGATCATGCAATATTAGAATTCAACATTATGGAAGCACAAGCAATAGAACACAGTCAAATTAGAGTCTTGGACTTCAAGAGAGCTAATTTCAATAAACTTAGAGAGGGCTTGGGAAGAATTCCATGGATGAGAATCCTCAAGGGGAAAACAACTCAAGAAGCTTGGGGAATTTTGAAAAATGAGATAATAAAAGCCCAGTCTAGCACAATACCAACAAAGAGGAAAAATAACAGCTCTCAAAAGAAACCAGCATGGCTGCATAAAGAACTCTCTGACAAATTGAAAGATAAAAAGGACAAGTATAGAAAGTGGAAAGAGGGACACATAACTAAGTCAGAATATCAGCAAATAGCCCAAGCCTCCAAAGATGAAGTGAGGAAAGCCAAGGCTCAAAATGAACTAAGGCTTGCGACCAAAGTCAAAAATAACAAAAAAAGCTTCTTTCAACATGTAAAAAACAAGAAAAAAGTGAAAGAAATTATTGGTCCATTAGTGGGTGAAAGTGGCAAGAAGGTGACAAGCAACAGGGAGAAAGCAGAACTATTTAACTCATTTTTTGCATCTGTCTTTACACAAAGGGAAAAAACAGACCAACCTATCAAAAATAGTGCCATAAAAAACAGAATAGAAACATAAGTTAAGATAGGCAAGAAAATGGTAAGTGAGCACCTGTCCAGCCTAGACAAGTTCAAATCACCAGGACCAGATGGATTACACCCCAAGGTTCTCAAGGAACTGGCAGATGTGATCTCAGAACCACTGAACTATATTTTTCAAATATCCTGGAGCACAGGGGAACTACCAGAGGACTGGAAAAGAGCTGATGTAGTTCCCATCTACAAAAAAGGGGGGGAAATGGACCCAGGAAATTACAGACCTATCAGCCTGACCTCAATACCTGGGAAGATCCTGGAAAATATAATCAAACAGCGAATCAACTAACACCTAGAGGCAAACAAAGTCATTACTAAAAGCCAACATGGATTTGTCAAAAATAGATCATGCCAGACAAATCTTATTGCATTCTTTGACCAAGTGACAAAATTAGTGGATCAGAGGAATGCTGTGGACATAATTTACTCAGCATGTGGTCCTCAATGGAACCGCATCTACATGGAGGGAAGTGTGTAGTGGGGTGCCCCAGGGCTCTGTTCTGGGCCCAGTGCTCTTCAACATCTATATCAACGATTTGACCAAGGGGATAGATGGGGAACTCATCAAATTTGCAGATGACACCAAGCTGGCAGGAATAGCCAACACTTCAGAAGACAGGCTTAAGATACAGAAGGATCTGGATAGAGTTGAACACTGGACGCTATCTAACAAAATGAAATTCAATGGTGAAAAAAGCAAGGTTCTACATTTAGGCAAGAAAAACCAAATGCACAGGTATAGTATAGGGGGTACCTTGCTCAATAGTAGTAACTGTGAGAGGGATCTCGGAGTCCTAGTGGACAATCACCTAAATATGAGCCAGCAGTGTGCTGCAGCTGCCAAAAAGGCCAACA